AAGATGGCCGCCCTAAATCTCGTCAGCGACAATAGGCGAGAGCGGTCCATGAGGCGTCTATCCTTATATTATGTCTATGATATACCCCATTGTTTCAATGTAGCGGCCGAAGCCTTTTCCTCAGAGATGCAGCGGAAAACTTTCTCATTCCTCGGTGACCGATCTATCTCATTCTGTACTGTTCATCAGCGAGTAAGCGGAGGGAAAAAAATTAACTCATCATGGGACCAGGTAACAGCAGAATATTGAGAGGAATTCATCGCACATTAAAAATAGTAATAAAAATATTAAAGAGAGCACTCTTTACAAAATACAGTAAAAACAGTTTAGTGAGAGCCACTATCACGTGTAAGAGAGTTTTGAAGTTTTGGCCCTTGGGGCCTCTCATAGAAAATGGTAGAGCACTGCCAAGAATGGTCAAAAACGCTGTGTGTCCGTGTTCCCCTATCACCCCCCACCCGTTGGGCCTAGGAGAGGTTTTCGTATTTAAATGAAGTTGCTGAGAGCCATGCAAATGCAAATCAACTGTTGAGCACCGGCCTTTTGACTCTCTTTCCTGTTGTAGCTAACCCATTTTACCTTCTGTTCACCTGTTTACTAGACCCAGGACCTGGCCAAAACCCCTCAGTGTTATTAATTGAGAAATAATGAGATTTAAGTATAAAACAGGCATTAATGCTGAAAATGTTCTAATGTTACAAAGTCACACAAATGGAACAAATTTAGTGTGACATTCACCATCCAGCACTGAACACACTTAGCTCAACTTAGGGATGTAACCTTAACACTTAAGTGTGCATATTAAAGTACAATTTTCAGGGTAAATCTGATGATATATTGTCAACATTGCATGTCTGTCAAGCTCATCCAAGATTGTGTGATGGAATGCAGACCGCTGTACACATTTCCAAGAGAAGTGTTTCTGCCAGCGTGAAAACACTGAGCTTTACATAAAGCATCAGTTGTGTCATCATGACAAAGTTCCAGTCATTTGCACATGTAAAATTTTGGTCATTATAGTATCACAGGCAAATGTTCATGGGATACTAAGTTGATGTTGACTCTTCTGAAACTGTCTCCTAATCTGGACTTTGTGATTAAACATTCTCAGTATTTAACCACAAATACTGGAATACTGGCTCGAAAAAGCCTGTATTCCAACATGTACTCCTTCAAATGGGGATGTAAATACATGTTGGTGTTGCAGTGCAATGGGGCAAACAGTTTCACACATTTTGAGTCGTCTGTAAGTATTGTTCAGTTATAGAAGTATGCCATGAAGAAGTATGTTTGAAGAATGAATATTAAAACAATAGTCTATCTTATCCATTAAAATATATATTACATGTATGTTAGGAGCACTGAAAAACTTAGTTTTGGTTGAACTGATGATATAAAAGAAGAATATGCATGAATACATACAATAGACTTTTGTTAAACATGATCTTAGTTTGACATTCCTCCCATCTGAAGATACAGGAGATGGGAGGAAGTACATCTGTACAGGAGACAGCTCAAAGCAGAATTGAGTAAATAAACATTACACATTTAAAAACATTTTAGCAATTAATTATTATAAAAATAAAATTTACTGTCACGTAACTTTTGAAAAAATAACTTTTTAGAAAGCATAATGTTTGATCATGTTTGGACAAAAAAACATTGTCAGATAGTCCAGAAATGGACAAGCATTTATGTCTTATTTTGTGTGCAAACAGTAAAACAAAAATCAAATGAATAAAGAAAAAAAACTTCTGTGCCTCATTTATGTTCCTCATATATGAACATGTTGCATATAAGCAATATCAAATGAATATATTTTAATACAGCATTTATTTTATATATATCTATTTTAAAATACAGCATTAAAAATATTAATGATTGGGGCGGGGTTTATTTACAAAGATATAAGTGCTATCCAATGGGCACACATCAACCAACCAATCGCATGTCAATGATGAACTGTGATGTCATTGTTTTTCATCCAATGACTGAGAATCCACGTGGGTCTGCTGAAGCGCCTTTGCATATGCTAGGCTATTCGTATGCTAAGTAGAGTCGTTAACGTCTCCTGCCAGCCCGCTCCCCCGCACCGCCACTCCCCCCTCCTGGGATTCCGCAATCGACAGATTTCGACTCCCGTGAGTCGTGAGACACTGAAAATGCAAACTGTCGATTGCTGTCGATATCTCTCGTTCACGAGCTGCGTTCGCGTCAGAATACAGCGTCAAAAATCCCACTTTTCGTCTTGTGTTAAGTAGTATAGACAAGTAGTATTTCAAAAGAGCAGATTAAATCTTATGTTTTTTTGAACAATAACAATATTTGTTGTTAATCTGTTGCTAATAGATGAGCGCATTTTCTGGTAATCAAGTGTCGCAAAGTAAACATCTGATTTTTACTTTTGCAAAAGTAAAAATCAGAAGGCAGTACATTAGCAGTAGTACAAACATTAGCAAGCAGTGCCTTTTCCCTAAAGTAAGCTTTTTAGCTATTTTAGCACACTGAATAGAATAAGTCAATGTACAACATGCTAGCCACTGGCAACATTTAAGCTAATGTTGAGACGCTTTACCAACGTCGAGAAAGTTACATGCTGTTAGACAAAAGGCCCATTGTAAAGAGTTACATTTTTGATTCTGTTAGACGCTAAGGCCCATTTCTCAGAAAACAGAAACTTATCAGGCCACAGAGACACGTGTGATTTCAGGGAGTGTCTTCAGTCCATATAATCAGGTAGCCTCCTCCTTTTCCTTAGACACTGCACAGACTTTTTTAGAAACTCTTCTCAAATGTAACAAAGTGTCTCCTTTCAGCGCTGAAAGTAAATAAAATAAGTAAAGTCTTTAGGATTTTGTTGGCTGATTTTATGCTCCATGTGTCAGTACATTTTAAGGATTTTCCATCCTTAACACTAACGTTAGCATTTTGGCTAATTTTAGCTTATACACAACATACTAAATGAGTAAGTCCATGCTACTCAGCATGCTCGTGATTCTTCACATGCTATTGAGTACATTTTAGCTTACTTTAGCATGTATGCTAATTTTTAGAATATGAACACTGGGTTCCAACAGACGGGCACACTTTAGGTGCGTTCACACTGCAGCCTGAAGTGACTCAATTCTGATTTTTTGGCAATTCTGATTTTTTTGCCGGGGCCGTTCACACTGTCAGTAAAAGCGACCTGTATGCGTTCTGCAGTGTGAACGGGCAAACGACCTGAAAGTGTCCCACATGCGCAGTAGAGGGCGCCATAGCGTCAGCGTTCTCAGTGTTCTGCCAACTGCCATAAAAAGAAGAAGTCCTCAGTGTTTGCGAAGTAAACATGGAGGCTAACGGTGGAGCTTAGCTTACATATTTGAAGTTGTTGTCCGGCCAGAGCAACATATTAACAACTTAATCCTCATATAATCCGTCATGGTTGTTGTTTTTCTTTCTGCTTGCGCATATCAGGACGCAGAATAGTGAGATTTGTTGAGGATCAGTGACATTCAGTTTGGATGAATGCGGCCTGAACGTTAGGTCGCATTTGAATCGGATACGTGTCGGATATGGGTCACATTCGAAAAAGAATCTGATCTGTGCTGTTCACACTGCCATGAAAAGATCGGATACAGGTCGCATTACGTCAAAAAAATCGGAATTGAGTCACGTCAGGCTGCAGTGTGAACGCACCCTTGTTACGTGAATGAATTAAGGCTTTTTACCTCACATGTTTGTGTCTGTTTGTAACTTTTGCATTCTGTATTATATATAAGATTAATGTTGTCTCCNATGCCTGTAGCTCATAATGATTGTCTGTTCTGTATTAACAGCTGATGGAGGAAGGCAGAGAGTACTGGCAGCAGAGGAGGTGGCATTCTGGGAGGATGGCAGCTATGAGGGGGTGTCAGGATGGACTGTGGTGAGGTTGAGACCCCAATTTCCCCCAACCAGGAGCTCAGTGACGTCAGGCCTACTCTACAGGAGAGACGTCGGGTCTTCGCTACAGGAGAGACGTCGGGCCTACGCTACAGGAGAGACGTCGGGTCTACGCTACAGGAGAGACGTCGGGTCTACGCTACAGGAGAGACGTCGGGCCTACGCTACAGGAGAGACGTCGGGCCTACGCTACAGGAGAGACGTCGGGTCTACGCTACAGGAGAGATGTCGGGCCTGTCATCTCTCTGTGTGAACATTATGCTGTGTTCACACAGCATAATGTTTGATCATGTTTGGACAAAAAAACACTGCCAGATAGTCCAGAAATGGACAAGCGTTTATGTCTTATTTTGTGTGCAAACAGTAAAAAAAAAAAAAAAAAAATACAATGAAATAAAGAAAAAAAACTTATGTGCCTCATTTATGTTTATTTTTTTATATAGATTTTTAAAAATACAGCATTAAAAATATTAATGATTGGGGCAGGGTTTATTTATAAAGACCAATGGGCACACATCAACCAACCAATCACGTCAATGATGAACTGTGATGTCATTGTTTTTCATCCAATGACTGAGAATCCACGTGAGTCTGCTGAAGTGCCTTTGCATATGCTAGGCCAGTGGTCCCCAACGTTTTTATTACAGCGGCCGGGGAGGAAGGGGAGGGAAGATGTTATAACTTTCAGATAAGGCTTCTGCATGTTGGTGTTCCCGCTAAAGCCTGAATATGCCCTATTTGGGTTGTAAAATAATAAGTAAAATAAAATAATGCCAACATATAGGTCTTTAAAGGTAACGTTTTATTACATTTTTGATAATATTCAACAGGAATCATTAAGAGTTACTTATTTATTTCTTACCACAGATAATTGTCAGGACATTACAGTCTACTATCAAATAATTTATACAATATAGTAGTTTAAATTACATAATCTTCATAATAAGCTCATTTTTTCAGCATCAGCACTATACAACATAGCACACTGACTACATTGAGTTTCTTCGGGGGCAATATGGATTTAAATAAGAAAAATGTATTTTGCTGAGTCATGAATTACATTTATCAAGACATGTATCACCCATGATAATTTAGACATTTGCATTTTTACATAAAAGCTATTACTGAATAAAATCAAAGAAATCTATATTTAAAAAACAAAAAAAGATATATACGTTTATTTGTAAATTAAATAAGACATGCCAGTTTGCTTTCTCAATTTTTGACCCACAAGACACATCTTTTTACCACATGTGGTAAGTTTCACAGTGTGCATGTGTTATGTCAAACTTCAATGTTACTGCATGCCTGCTTGCATCAAATGACAATGCATGTGTTTCGAGTACTATGAGTTGATCAGCATCTGTGCCACAGCCACCATGATCAGCGAAAAGAAAGTCAAACTTCCCATCGTGGGTAGAGGAGGACCGCCCGATGCTGAAGATTTGAAAACATTGAAAACAGAATTAAATATATTAGTGAGAAAATTCTTTAGAATTGTATTACAAATTCCACATATGACTTGAAAGAATGCTTGTGTGTGAAATTGTGTTTAACTTTTTTATTGCTAATATTTTTGTTTAGCATCACACTTTGTAGTTTTAATGTTAACTCTTTGTTGTACTTCAACGTCTGCATCTCTTGTAACTTACCTAAAACCAGGCTGCCATTTATATAATTCAGTATGTTAGAATTAAGAAGCTCCTTTTCCAGCGCTGACAGAGCAATGTTTAAATTAGGAAGAACAGACGTGCTTCTGAACACTAGAGTCATGTTGGCAATCACAGATCCATTCCTTAAATAGAACAAACAAACAAAAAAAATCTAATTATAGCACCTGAAAAAGCAACCTAATGACAAAACATCAATAAAATATAGACAGCGACAGTAATATGGTCTTACCTGAAGGAATTGACGCGTGAGCGACTGAAACCAGTGAAGAGGCCAAGGCAAATTCTGTTGATCTGAAAGAAAATGAAAACATTAAGTTCGCACTGGCACCAAGTAGCACCGAGTAAATGTGCTACTTTTGTAGTAAAATTTGTTCCCATTATATTATAGCATTTACTTAAAAGACCTTTAAATATATCCTAATGTATTTAATTTTGACAGTCTTATTACACAAAGTGGTTATAATGTAAACTTAAATTACCTCCTTGACCACAGTTGAAGCCAATTGGAGAAATGCTGTTGAAGTGACGTCGGCTAATTCTGTTTGAAAAATCATGTCGAGACCAAATCTCATGAAGAGAAATCCCTCAGTGGCAGATGGAGGATTTGTGGGTGCTGCAGTCGTAGTCGTGGTTGGGGCTGTTGTAGTTACTGCTGGAGTTACTGGTTTAACAGTAGAAGTTGTAAAATTAGTAACAGTTATTCATTGACATGGCAAATTACAGCAACATAGATTAAGCCAAAGGGGATTACAAGCAAAAAACAAATGCAGGACTGAATCTAACACAACTAACAATAAACATACTTGCGGCAATTAAATTTTACAAATAAACAATTGGGATATTTCTCATTGTTGTTTCATTAAAAAAATAAAATAAAATGATAGGCACAAAATAGTTTTCGAAATATTGCATTATTATAATTATAATTACCACCAAAAACTAAACATCTCTTTAAACTTTAAAATTGCATACGATGCCTATAGGATCAAACCAAGTAACTGCAGTGCTTTTAATATTTACCTTTCAAGATAACACTCAAGAGAATTTTGCTTTTTCAATAAGAAAAAAAGATCACCTGTTGTCAAAGTTGCATTGGTTACTGGTGATGTTGCATTGGTTACTGGTGATGTTGCATTGGTTACTGGTGATGTTGCATTGGTTACTGGTGATGTTGCGTTGGTTGGAGGTTGGGTCACGCCGGTTACTGGTGATGTTGCATTTGCTGGAGGTAAAGTCACATGGGAAAATGCTTTATTAGAAACCATAATCAAACAAAGTTTCCCTCATATTATATTTTATTCATAATAGTGCGAAATAATGTGAAAGCAATATGATGCTTGTGATGCTGAAACCATGGGGTCTGTCTGGTGAACAATTAGTGATGATGAAGTTAGTTTAGTGAAAAGTACAATAAAAAACCTTGCAAATGTTCTATTTGTCGGAAAAATATTATTATTATTATTATTATTATTATTATTATTATTATTATCACGAGAAAAACATTTAAGAAATCTTTAAGACTTCAGAGCTTGTGGAAGGAATAAACCAAGCTTAGTCTCTCTGGTGCTTTTAATAATTATCTTATATTTCTTGAAACAAAAGGACTTTCTTTATTCAACTGGAAAACAGCATCAGCTGTTGGTAGAGTTGCATTGAGTGAATGTACAATATCACCTCGTCTCTCTTTTCTAGAGGAAGTTAAACTGTAGAAAAGGGCTGTGTCTTTTAGTTACCTGTTGAAATCACAGTTGGAGAAATGGTTGTTGCCGAGACTCCTGCAATAAAGACAAAGAACATCAGGGCTTTTGGAATAGTTTTTGGTATAAATTTAACACCAATTGTTCTTCATCTATTTTATGTAATAAACAACCACATGAAAAAATAAACTCTTACTTGTCACAACTACACTTGTTGCGTTCAGCGTGAAGTTCAAGCTGGCACTTTCGTTCACCAGAGTCTCTGCAACAGCTCGTGGTTCTGGCACAGAGCTCGCATTTGCAAATATCACATCAGAGTCAACAATAATCGAACCTTGTCTGCAAAAAGGAAATTATTATTGTAGTTTTCATTTCTAACAAACATCACAAGAACACATTACCTGATATTCTGAATGTGTTATTATAAAATTAAAATTTGGGCACCACTGTCCAATGGTTAGAGTCACACAACAGAAGAAAAATGTTTAAAAAGTTTATGTCATCATATCATTTTGTTGGAGTTTTCTTTCATACCTCTTTAATAACAATTTCCTGACTAACATCAATATTTACCTGAAAGCTCTGATCAGAACTCGCAGGAATAAAAACCCGAATCTCCGCCTATATATGCCATTCAGCTGAAGAATTGAAAAACAGTAAAACAAGTCAGGGGAGACAGTTGATATTCACAAAGAATGTTTTGTTAACAAGTCTAATTCTTTTACACATGCTGATTATTGTATATTGATGTAGTTTAATTCAATTGATATTTGAATTATGAGACTACAAAAAAATCAGTTATGCTTACTCGAGTAGTTAGTGTTGTTGACAAGCTGACAAACGCTGGAGATCCAGGTGTTTCCAGAGTCGAGTTAAAAGGTTCTTCCAGTGTAAATGTCATCTCGAGCTTTGAATCTGCTGGCACTGGAGTTGTTGCTGGAGTAACTGGTTGTGTAGTTGATATTGAAAAGATTACATTATTATTATTATAATTTTATTGATGTTATTATAACCACCATAAACAAACACCTTTTAAAACTTTAACACTTCAAATTTGCCTGTACGTTGTGGCCAAATATCTACAGTGCTTTTAATATTTATCTTCCAATTTAATACTTGCTTTGTTCAATTAGAAAAGATCACCTGTTGTCAAAGTTGCATTGGTTACTGGTGATGTTGCATTGGTTACTGGTGATGTTGCGTTGGTTGGAGGTTGGGTCACGCCGGTTACTGGTGATGTTGCATTTGCTGGAGGTAAAGTCACATGGGAAAATGCTTTATTAGAAACCATAATCAAACGCAGTTTCCCTCATATTATATTTTATTCATAACAGTGCGAAATAATGTGAATGCAATATGGTGCTTGTGATGCTGAAACCATGGGGTCTGTCTGGTGAGCAATTAGTGATGATGAAGTTAGTTTAGTGAAATGTACAATAAAAAAACCTTGCAAATGCTCTATTTGTCAGAAAGATGTTATTATTATTATTATTATTATTATTATTATTATTATTATTATTATTATTATTATCACAAGAAAAACATTTAAGAAATCTTTTAGTCTTCAGAGCTTGTGGAAGGAATAAACCAAGCTAAGTCTCTCTGGTGCTTTTAATAATTATCTTATACTTCATGACACAAAAGGACTTTCTTTATTCAACTGGAAAACAGCATCAACTGTTGGAAGAGTTGCATTGAGTGAATGTACAATATCACCT